CTGAGCACCAGGAGCGATGCCGCCAGGAGGTCCAGGAGCTCCTGGCTGGCCGGGACACTGCAGACATTGAATGGTGAGATGTCCCCAGGGCCACCCCGGCCATGTGGCTTGGGAGCATGGTGCCACCCCCGCTTGTCCCCAGGGAGGACCTGTCCCAGCTGCCCTTCACCACCATGTGCATCAAGGAGAGCCTGCGGCTGCACCCTCCTGTCACTGCTGTGTCCCGGCGCTGCACCGAGGACATCCCCCTGCGTGATGGCCGTGTCATCCCCAAGGGTATGGCATGGCCAGGGTGTCCCCAGTGTCACCACCCACCCTCATCTGCTGTCCCTAAAGTGGCCATTCCCATCCCACCAGGGGTCATCTGCCTGATGAGCATCTACGGGACCCACCACAACCCAGACCTCTGGCCCGAGCCTGAGGTAGGGCCACCCTCTGAGGTGTCCCTGTCACTATGGTGGTGACAGCTGTGTTCCCTCGGTGTGACTGCATCGGTGTCACCCCAGGTGTTCAATCCTCTGAGGTTCAGTCCGGAGAACAGCAAGGAACGGTCCCCGTCGTCATTCATCCCCTTCTCTGCTGGCCCCAGGTATGTGCTGGAGTGGGGACAGGAGTGTCCCCAAATGTCACCCCTGTCCCTGGCTGGGTTCACAGTGGGGTGACAGTGACAGTGGGGATGTGGTGGCAGGAACTGCATCGGGCAGAGCTTTGCCATGTCTGAGATGAAGGTGGCAGTGGCATTGACACTGTCCCGGTTCGTGCTGCGGAGAGACAATGCGAGGCCGCCCCCGCGCCGCAAGCCCGAGCTGATCCTGCGTGCCGAGGACGGGCTCTGGCTGCTGCTGGAGCCACTGGCGAGAGGGCCTGAGTGACACGGGTCACCAGGACATGGGGACATCCTGTAAAGCGGGTGTCACAGCCAGGGGAGGAGCAGGGAATAAATGGTAGCATGAAAGGGACAGTATCATGGTGGTGGTGGGAATGTGTTGTCCTTGGCCGTGGGACACTCCATTGCATGGACATGTCAACCCATGGACTTGTCCTCTAGGCCACTTGTGTTGCCATCCATGGCCATGTCCCCCATGTCCTCATCCATGGCTATAGAGCCCCATGTCACCATCTCTATCTGTGACACCCCCCCCCCCCCATGCCCTATATCACCATCCACAGCCATGTCCGCACCCATGTCCTTGTCCCTGTCCCCATCCCTGCCATGTCCCCCAATGTCACTATCCATGTCTTAGTTGAATGTCTTTATTTTACCCCAGTGTTTGGGTGAAGGGATGAAGAAAAATGAAGGAAAATCAAAGCCAAAATAAAAGGATTTACGTGTCCATGCTGCTGAGTATCCGTGTCCCCGGGCGGGTAGAAAGGACCTTTTCTAGAGGGATTTCCACTCCACTGTCTTCAAAATCCTGGGTTTTTTGCCCCAGTCCATCACCATTTGCCTGTGGAAGATGCCTGTGGGCCAGAGAGAATTACAATCATGGAATGATTCAGGTTGGAAAAGACTTCCAACACAATCCAGTATTCCTTGATGCCACTCAAAGAAATGATAGGATGCAAAAGGTGAGACTTTTTGGGGTCAAAAGTGAAAAACTCTGCTGTCCCCTATGAAATTCTGATGTCTGTTTGCATCCCAATGGATTTTTCTCTGGCTGCGTCAAAGTGCTCAAGGGGAGCCAGGAAGATGTGGAGACCACCAGCCAGGTGTCTTCCCAACATGGATCACCAGGACCATGGATGACCAAGTCTCTGCACAGTGAGGGTCACTGTGGACCATCCAATGGTGGTCCTCCAATAGCGGATGGAGTTGAAGCAGCACTCAAAGCTCTTCCTGCACACAGGGCACTTGTAGGGCATCCCTTACTGCTGCCTCCCTTGGTGTTGGGTCACGGTAGAGTTCTGGGAGAAGCTCTTCCCACACTTGGGACACTGTCAGGGCCTCTCCCCCGTGTGGATCCGCTGGTGGGTGAGGAGGGTGGAGTTTTTCTTAAAGCCCTTCCTGCAGTCAGGGTAGCAGAAAGGCCTCTATTCTGTGTGAATCTGCTGATGCTTGAGGAGACGGTATCGACTCTGAAACCTCTCCCCACACTCAGAACACTCATAGGGCCTCTCCCCAGTGTGGATCCTCTGGTGGGCAATCAGATTGGAGTTCTGGCTGAAGCATTTCCCACATTCTGAGCACGTGTAGGGGCATTCCCCAGTGTGCATTGTCTGGTGGATGATCAGGTCAGAGCTGTCACGGAAGCCCTTCCCACATTCCCCACACACAAAGGGTCGTATCCCAGTGTGGATCATCTGGTGGCGGTTCAGATGGCTGCTATTCCTGAAGCCTTTCCCACATTCTCCACATTTATAGGGCCGTTCATCAGCATGGATCCTCTGGTGGAGTTTCAGGCTGGAGCTGAACCTGAAGCTCTTCCCACATTCCCCACACTCGTGGGGCCGTTCCCCGGTGTGGATCCGCTGGTGAGCAATCAGGTCGGAGCTGACGTTGAAGCTCTGTCCACACTCCCCACACTCATAGGGTCGTTCCCCGGTGTGAATCCTCTGGTGGACCATCAGGTCAGAGGTGTCTCTGAAGCTCTTCCCACATTTCCCACACTCATAGGGCCTTTCTCCAGTGTGGATCTTCTGGTGGCGGTACAGGTGGGAGCTGATCCTGAAGCTCTTCCCACATTCCCCACACTTGTGGGGCCGTTCCCCGGTACGCATCCTCTGGTGGATGAACAGGTTGTAGCTCCTGCGGAAACTCTTCCCACATTCCAAGCACTGGTGGGGCTTCTTGCCATCATCAAGCTGCTCATTGACCACCACTTTAGAGCTCTGGCCAGATCTCTGGCTGCCTTCCAGGCACAGGCTGGGTCTTTCCACCTCAGAGCATCCTGGGCTGCGTTTGCAGCCCCTCCTCGTGCGGCATCTCCGGGGCTTTTCCTCCCCATTGGCTTCCTGCGCCGTGGAGCTGCTCAAAACGGCCTCTTCCACCAGGTTCTGCCGCGGGCATTTGTCCTCCCTGCTCTCCATGCTCAGCTCCTGCTCTGGGGGAGGAAGGACAAGGACAGGATGGGATTTGCCTCTGTGCCACAGGCAAGGGCAAGGAGATCCCCCCAGGGCTGTGCTGCAGCCGGGGCCGTGCTGGGCTGGGAGATGGAGCAGCACAGAGGGGAAAGGGGCACTGACTTCCTCCTCACCTGCCAGGCTGTCCCAAGGCATCTTCCTCTTCCTTGCAGACTTCTCCTCTATTCAGATAAGGTTTGGAAATGGGAAATCCTGATTTGGGGGAAAAACAAGATGTGAGTGCATTGCCTTCGGAGGTCCCACTGGCCAAGTCCATCTCTAGAAGTCACCGGGTGTCTGGTGGCCAGAAATACCTCCAAAAAGCAAGAAGTCCAGAAACCTCTCCCAGGAGTTTCCTGTTTCCAGTGTCCTCACTTTGGGGTTATGGGGGTCCCTCATCTCAGAGCTGCTGGGGGGCCGTGGGTCCTGGGCATTCTCCCTCCCCTGGGTTCTGCTTACACACGCTGAGGGTCTTTTGGGGGGTCCCAGGGGTGAAATTATGATGCTCGTATCCCCATTTGTCTGAAATAAATTTTGCACCTTTATAACACTGGTTCTGAGAACAAAGAGGGAGGAAGAAGAAGCACGGAATTTGTTTTCAGAACCCCTTTCACTCCTCCACATTCCTGCTCTTCTGTTGTCTGCAGATGGACAGACAGCAGGGCAGAGCCCTCCTTTGCTTTTGGTTAGTTTTAGCTAGCAGAGGAAGAGAAGTTCCCTGGACTGTGGTTTTTGGTTTTCCTTTTCTTTGGACCTGTCTACACCTGCTCTGGACTGAACACCCAGAAGAGCACCAGGTGCTCACACCTGTGCCCCACTGGGGCTGGGCCGCGGCATTTCCAGCACCAGAGAGACTGAGCAAGCCAAACTACAGCCCACGGAGGGATTCTGTGAGTTTGTCATCTCTTTTGGAGCAGCAAGGGGTTGTATTGTTGAATATTGTTTATTTTTGGGGCTGGTGAGTGCTTTGCCTGTTAAAGAAACAGTTTTTCCACTTCTCTCCAAGGAAATCTTTTTCCAGAACCAGATGAGAGAGGGGCCGCTTAAATTTGCTCTTCTAGAGGAAACACCTTTAGAGGTTTTTCTCCCAAAATTGCCCTAAACCAGGAAATTGGCGTGGGCTTTGAAGGTCCCGCTGGCCAAGTCCATTTCTAGAAGTCACTCAGTGTCTGGTGGCCAGAAAAACTTCCAAAACTCAAGAAGGAGACAAAAAAACCTCTCCCAGGCGTTCCCTGTTCCCAGTGTCCTTATTTTGGGGTTTGGGGGTCCCTCTTCTCAGAGCTGCTGGGGGCCCATGGGTCCTGGGCATCCCCCCTCTCCCGGGTCCTGCTCAGGCATGCTGAGGGTCTTTTGGGGATCTCAGGGCTCATCCTCTCCTCATTCGAACGTGGCTCCCAGGTGTTCCAGGGTGCCCTTTCTCCAGCATCCCTGCACTCCAGGCACTCAGCGCTTCCCCTGCTCCACGACAATACTTTCAGGGTCGGGGAGCCCTGCCCCACTCATCTCCCGGCTCCACCACCCATCCAGCCTGCCGGAGCTCCCCCGGCTCTGCTATCGCCCCTCTCCCCACGCCGGGGCTCCCCCCTTTCATCCCCCGGCTCTCCCGGGGATCCCCAAAACCCGTGTCGTGTCGTGTCCCGCCCCGCCGGCACCGGGCGATCGCCACGTGGGCCCCGCAAAATCCCCCCAGGGCCATTTGCGGCTCAGCTCTGCACTCCTGCGAGATCCAAAAATATCTCCTCATCGAATAATACAAAATACCTCTCCCAGCGACACCGAAATATATTTGGGACTCGACTCCGGAATCGGCAGGGCCTAAACCACAGCAAAATCCCCTTCTCCCCGCCAAAAAAACCCTCTCGGAGCTGCCGAGGGAGCGGAGGAGGAGCGGGAGGAAGGGGAGGGAGACGGGAAGGGGAGGAGCAGGAACAGGAGGAGCACGAAGGGGAGCAGGTCGAGCAGGAGCGGCAGCAGTGGAAGGAGCATTGCGGGGTTCCACGGCGAGCCCGCAGCTCGGCTGGGCCCGGCAGCATCGCATTGCCCCGCATCCCGCAGGTGAGCGCCGGGGGGAAGCTCGCCCCGAGTCGATCGCGGCAGCTCCGAGAGGGTTTTTTTGGCGGGGAGAAGGGGATTTTGCTGTGGTTTAGGCCCTGCCGATTCCGGAGTCGAGTCCCAAATATATTTCGGTGTCGCTGGGAGAGGTATTTTGTATTATTCGATGAGGAGATATTTTTGGATCTCGCAGGAGTGCAGAGCTGAGCCGCAAATGGCCCTGGGGGGATTTTGCGGGGCCCACGTGGCGATCGCCCGGTGCCGGCGGGGCGGGACACGACACGACACGGGTTTTGGGGATCCCCGGGAGAGCCGGGGGATGAAAGGGGGGAGCCCCGGCGTGGGGAGATGGGCGATAGCAGAGCCGGGGGAGCTCCGGCAGGCTGGATGGGTGGTGGAGCCGGGAGATGAGTGGGGCAGGGCTCCCCGACCCTGAAAGTATTGTCGTGGAGCAGGGGAAGCGCTGAGTGCCTGGAGTGCAGGGATGCTGGAGAAAGGGCACCCTGGAACACCTGGGAGCCACGTTTGAATTGATATAAAATTTATACCTTTAATTTTAAAGCAAGCAAGCAAGCAGCGCTGGGTGGCCGGGGAGTCGCTGCTCCACTCATGGCACACACCACTTACGAGTTTGGTAAAGTATATATACTGTTTTTAAACCCACAAAGCATTTTCTAATGTGCTTGGTTAGTCCAAATCAGCAAATAACAATAGGCTAGGATCAGGAATTTCATAATCTTTCCAGGTGGTTGTTGATTCCTATCCTTCTTGTGTTCGTCTGGAGGGAGGCCTTACACTGGTGTCTGCTACATCATTTTGTCAAGTGCATCAAGCTTTTTATTATACATAACTATTTAATTGCTTTGTTGCAATATCTCTTAGCTTTACCCCAACTTCCTCCATTTTATTCTAAGTATCAGTCGTCTTGCTACTTCATCTCTTTTACTCTACTATACTTCTTTGATTTTGATGCTTTATTTGGCTATTTGGTCAGAAAGTTTCACAACTTTTCTTTGTGTCTATTTTGGACACAGCAGATAGAAGCATTTGCTGATTCCATTGCCAATTGATGCAAATCACAGAAACATTTTTCACAATCCTTCCCCTTTATGTTATTGATTCATGTCTTTGTTTCAAATTGAGCTAATACTTTTTGGGTTGCAGTTTTTTGGTTCTGCTTTGCCTTGACTATCATAAGGGAGTGAGTTTCTTCTCCCGTGGTTGTTATTTTAGGGTTTATGGGCTTTGCTGAAATCTGCATTCCCTGGATCACTGAGTATATTAGCCTAATAAAGCATGGAACCATACATGGTATAAACAATAGACCTAATGCAGAACAAAGCAACATGAACCCTCATTTTTCCACCAGGCTCCTTCAAACAAATTATTCCACCAATTGTCAGTTAATATGGAATTCCATTTTTGCACTAGAACACGTGCAACTTGTTTAATTTCGCCTGCCCAATTTGTAATAGCTTCTCCATTATCATCAGTCTCTAAACAGCACTCAGACGTACTAAATTTTCCACAAAATGCCCTTCTTCAGCTAATAAATAATCTAGGACTAGCCTATTCTGATATACTGCCACTCTGGTCTGGGTTAGTTGTCTAGCTACAAGCTTCAGTGCCTCTGATGTTTGATTAGAAGTAATTTCTACAATGGCCTGTAATCTAATGATTTGGTTAAGCATACACATAGGGATTCTATAACCCCAGCTGCCGTCCTGAGCCCAGGAGGCAGGATTGTAGTAATCTGTGATCTGTTGGGAAGTCCATTCTTCATTTTTCCAGGGCTGTTTTCCTCCTATTTCAGTTTGTTTTCTTCTGCGCAGAGTTTCGTAAAGAGGTAGTCCTGAACATTCACCTTTGCTCTTTGGTAGCAAAAAGAATGCAGGTTGTATAATTCAAATTGTACAGGTACCTCTCCATCTCTTTGATATTCATTATATGCCCTTTTACCAGCGATCCAAAATAATCCATTTGAAGCTGTCCAATTTTCAGCCATCTTACCCAGATTTTCCCAATATCCCCTAAGATCTTTTACCTCGTCAAAAGGATTAGCATGTGTTACACTTTTCCAGAAAACAGTACCCTTGGTACAGTTGATAGACCAATAACCTGTTGGTGGTTTCGGCCACCATGTTGTAAAAGTGGAGTTGGTGGTATATATTTTCTTGCAGTGGGTTTGTCCTACGTTTGTAATAAAATTGTTTCCTTTCCTAGAAATACAAATTTGATCTACTACTTTGTGACTCAATGTTTACCTGTCAGGTTGAATTTCATTAAATCTTTGTGTCCTGTTCCATAATATAAACTGATCAGGTCCAACCCCTTCTCCTCTCCATGCCATTGCTCGGTCATTTAGGATCCCCATAAAGCCAACAGTAAGTCACATTTAATTCCTTAACTACTTTTTGCATCAGATCAATACACAAATTTTTTTCCTAACATAGGGAGGTCCCAATCACTGAGTCTTTTCTGTATTTTTTTATACAGGTCACTTCCTGCTCTTGTTCTTTTTTGGTTTGAATTTCCCCTAAATTCTTTGTGACTTTTTTCACTAATTCTTCCTTGAATTTATCTTGTACTCCCCCTTTATCTGAGTATCCCCACATTCCACCTTTGGTAAAACAGAGGAACGGTTCTCCTCGGGGACAAAATTGGTAGTTTCGCGGTGCCCATCTTCCCATTCCTGAATTTGTTGCTACCCAGTAACTCTTTTCTCCTATTGTACAGGTTTCAGGTTTTCCTGGCTCATAACATCGTGCATTAATATGAGTGTTTGGTGCAAATGCTCGGGCTGTGGTCCGGCCATACTTTACATTTTGGTAGCCCTTCAAGTAGGGACTGGTTATCCCATTCTCTGGAAGACTCAGCAGTACCAGAAGGCCCCACAGTTTTATTATCCCTCTTCCTTCTCTGCCTACTAGGGTGCTCCCAGCAGTGAGGGGTATCATCTTCTCGGCAGCAAGGATATTCTTCATGGGTTCTGTATGAGCTTTCCTGGGTTTCGTGCCATTTCTTAAATACTTCCCAGTTCTTTGCTTTGACTGGCTCAGATCCGCAAGGGACTCGATTATGTCTGAGATGCTCAATCTTTTTATTATTTGCCTCACTTGATTGTCCCCCTCTTAATCCGTATTTCCACAACATCCGCCACTCATAAGAATCTAGTTCTAATGTTCCTTCCTCTATTCTCTATTTTTTTTACAATATATTCAGTTAAAATCTGTTCAATGTGTTTACACTCTGGACACAATCCACTTGGAGGATAACCCCTGCGACAATGATAATACCACCTCTCCTTACAATAGTTTCATTCAGTGCTCCCAAAGGATAGCAATTACAATCCTGTTCAGTACAGGTTATTTTATCTCCCAGCATCTCTTGAGAATATGGCATTCTGTATAACGCCTTACATGGGGAGATCCCATGCTCTGAGTTCGGCATTGTTCGAATATTTAACAATGCCAATGGTAAGCACTTAATCCAAGATAGTTTTGTTTCAATCATTAGTTTTGCTAGCTGATGCTTTAGGGCCTGGTTCATTCTTTCTACTCTCCCCAAACTGTGAGGTTGCCAAGGGGTATATTATTCCCAAGAGACCCCTAGAGCTTTCATTACTTCTTTTAACACTTTTGAGGTAAAGTGGGAATCCTGATCCGAATCAATCACTCCAATCACCCCAAATCGTGGAATTATTTCTTCTAAACTAATCTTTGTAACAAAATGTGCTGTTGTTTGTGTCACAGGGTAGATCTCTATCCAATGAGTTAATTGGTCTGCTATTACTAACAAATACTTATCTCTTCCCGCTTTCAGTAATTTGGTAAAATCCAATTGTATCTTTTCAAAAGGCCTATATGCAGTTTTTCTGCCTCCCTGCAGGGTCTGTCTAGATGTCTTCTTGGTAATTTTCTGGCAAATAATGCATCCTTGTGTCTTCTGTTTTGCTATATCAAACATTCTTAGACACCCTAAAAACTTTACCAAGTGGTCACTTAGTGCTCGTGTTCACCAATGAGTTCATTAGTGTAATTGGTGAATTATTCTTGTAACATAACTTTTAGATAGCAGTTCTCTACCATCCGGTAAAAGCCACTTATCCTCTTCTAGCTTAGCCCCTAGTTTCTCCATCTCTTGTATTTCCTATGAGATATAGCATTTTTGATACTTTGTATCATCTTCACTTTTATTCAAATTATTTAAGAACACGGCTAAGCATACTGCTGCCCTTTGTGCTTCTGCATCAGCCAAATTATTCCCATGAGTCCGATAATCTGTTCCCCTCTGGTGTCCTCTTATATGGACAACAGCTATCCCTGATGGACCCCTCAAAGCTTCTAATACTCTTACTCTTATGGAAACAATTGGATTACTTATTTCTATCTTAATGGGTCCAATCTTCAGCTTTCCTATTATGGTGCCACACTTTGGGATTAATTCTGTCTTCCTCTTATGACGTTAAGGTACCGCCCCCCCCCCCCCCCCCAGCAGTTAGGGCACCGGAATTTTGGGGTGCTGGTGTGGCCAGGACAGTGGGAGAAGGAGGCAAAAGAAGGTTTTGGGGATGCTGTGGGTGCTGTCACACACCTGGCAACCCCTTAGGGATGTGAGGACACAGCAGGTGGAGGTCTTGGCTTGTTGGGTGTCACAGGAGTTAAATGAGTGCTATGTGGGTATGGGCAGGGGATGTCACCCCTAAATGGCGTTGTCACCACACAAGTGGGGGTTATCACCCCCTAAACAGGAGTTGTTACCACAGAAAGGGGGCTTGTCACCACACAAATGGGGGTTGTCACTGCACAAATGGGGTGGGAAGGAGTGAGAGGGGACCCCAGGTGAGTGGGGTGGGGTCACTCTCATGGGTGGGCACTGAGAGATGATGGTAGGGACAGGTGGCTTGGTGTGGTGGGACGTCTTCGGGTCTCCTGGGTGGTCACCACCATGTCCTGTGGATGGCCACCGCTGTGCTGCCTGGGGGGACACCACGGTTTTTCCTTGATGACCACCACCGTGTCCTCTGTATGGACACAACTCTGTCCCCTAGATGGCCACCACTCTCTCCCCTGGGTGGTGGTCCCTGAGTGGGTGTCCCTAGGTGGCCACCACCATGTCCCCATGGCCAACACTCTTGTGTCCCTTGGACACTGGCCCCCTCATGTCCCCGCCAATGGACACCCTGAGTAGCCGCTTCCCATCTCCTCAGTAACTCCCAGGAGAACCCTCCCACACCCAGGCTGAGGGTCCCTCAGATGTTCTCATGTGTCCCCAAAGACCTATCAATCTCCTTGTCTCCGCATGGACTCTGCCATGTCTCCAAGGACTCACTGAGCCCCTCGTCAGCACGTGGACTCTGACATGTTCCTAAGGGCTTAAGGGACACATGGAGCCCCTTGTCCCACTGCATGTGGGGGCTGGTCCCTACTGGGGCACCCTGTAATTGCTGTGGCTCCTGCTGGGCTCCATGTTCCTGCACCACACCCTAGAGCCATGCTAGAGCTGCTGCACCTGTTCCCATGTCATGAGGGATATGCCGAGCTTCCACCAGGATACCCACAGTTGGGACAACATTGGCTGTCGGGAGCTGGCACCCTCTGAGGGAGCTGGCACCCCCAAGGGAGCTGTCATTGTACCCTGGTGGGCCCTGTCACCACCTGAAGGACCTGTTGCCCTCCAAGGTCCCCATCACTTTCCCCTTGTAATTCCCCACCACTATCCCCCCTACTGTCCCTATCACTGTCCCACCATGGTCCCTATCACTCTGTGGTCCCTTTTGCCCCCCATGGTCCCCATCCCTGTCCCTTTGCAGTCCCCACCACTATGCCCCCATGGTTCCCACCACTGGGTCCCCACTGTCAGGTCCTTGTAGCTTCGTGGTGGGCTTGGATGGGTACCTGTACGAGGGTCGGGGGTGGCACTGGGTCAGTGCCCACACCAAGGACTACAATACCAAGGGCTTCAGCACTAGCATCTTCCAGGACTTCTTGGCCACACTGCCGGACCCCAACACCCTGGTCCTGATGCAGAATGAACTCCAGCCTCTGGCTGCATCCAGCCAGACTTCATCCTGTGTGGCCAGCTCAGCCCCACCAACTGCCCTGGCAACACCCTCTTCCAGGAGATCCAGAGCTGGCCCAGCTTCTAGGGGACACTGGTGTCCACAGGGCTTGGGGTGGGTGTCCCATTGGGGTTGGTGGGAGGAGGTTTGGGGTGATGATGCTGGGACTGACTGAACCCTGTGTTGTCCTCCATGGTCATGTCCCATGCCGTGTCCCGTGCCCTGTGTCCCATGCCATGCTCCACGGTCATTCCCATGTCCCTGTGCTCTCCAGCCATGTTCCATGTCCTGTGTCCTGTGCCGTGCTCCAGGGTCATGTTCCAACCCACAGCATACCCTGTGCCATGTGTCCTGTGCTGTGTCCCACGCTATACTTCACACCATGCCCCATGCCATGCCCCAGGCCCCACACTAAGCTGTGCATGGCTGCCTCTTTCTGTCACTCCTACCATCTCCATCACTGTCCCCATCACTGCTCCCTTCTTGCTGCTGCACCAGCTGATCCCTGGGTTAAAGGGATCAGCTTCCTCCAGGATCGGTGTGGCTTTGCCTGGCCCAGGGTCCTGCTGCTGGCTGTCCTGTGCCCCCCAGGATGGGGGATGACACTGGCACACATCTGCACACACCTGGTATTGGGGCTGGCAGCAGGGCTGGCACCCATCTGGGACTGGGGTGGGGACCGTCCTAGATCAGTGGCATCATGGTACCAGGCCTGGGAAATGAGGCTGGGAACTGGGACTGGGGCTGAGGAGTGGGGCTGGACACTGAAGCTGGGCAGTGGGACTGGCCACCAGTACTGGGCATTGACACTGGGCACTGGACAGTTGGACTGGACAGCAGGGATGGCCACTGAGGCTGGACACTGGCACTGGGCATTAGCACTGGGCACTGAACCAGGAGCAGGATAAACCCCTCTGTCCCTTCTCCTTTGCCCCCCTGAGCTCCCCTTTGCCTACCCAAAGCTTGGCTGCACCAGATACCAGCAGGATTTGGCACCTTTGGGGGATGTTTCCCAGGGAAAGAGGGGTGGTCTGGGCGTACTGTGTGTGCTGACTCTGGTCCCTCCCAGACCGAGATGGGAGGACCTCCTGGGGGGCTGCGAGAAGCCCTAAAAAGAGACTGCCCCCTAACCTCCCAGTTCATCAATCTCAAGGTGGGCACCCCCTGCCCCTGATCCCACCCCCTCCAAGGGCCTCGGGGGTGACACAAGCTGTCTGTGTTCCCTCCTCCAGGGGCTGTTGTGGAAGAGGCTCCTCCGGGAAAGGAAAAGTCGCAGTAGCACCAAAGTTCACAGAATCATAGAACTAACTGGGTTGGAAAAGATGAAAAGACCTTTGGGATCATCAAGTCCAACCTGTAACCCAACACCACCTTATCAACTAAACCCTGGCACTGAGTGCCACATCCAGTCTTTTTTTATACACCTCCAGGTGCGGTGACTCTACCACCCCCCTGGGTACCCTTGCCAATGCCCAATCACTCAGTAAAGAATTTTTTCCTAATGTCCAGCTTAAACTTCCCCTGGCACAGCTTAAGACTGTGTCCTCTCCTTCTGTCAGTGTTTGCCTGGGAGAAGACACCAGCCCCCAGCTGATTACAACCACCTTCCAGGCGGAAGGAGGGGTGGGTGGGTGTCTGGGTTGTCCTGGTGACACTCCTGTCCCTGCAGGATCCCCATCAGAGTGGATGGGAGGTATGTGGGTGCTGGGGGTCCCCAGTGACATTCTTGTCCCCACAAGGTCCCCACTGGAGCGGTTTTAGGGGAGTTTCAGTGAGATTGTTCCATCTGCAGGGATGCCCTGAGTGCAGCAAACAGGAGAGCTCCCGGCTGGCAGAGGCCCCACTCACAGGGACTTTGCTGCTCACGGCTGCTGTGGCCCCGCACAGCTCCAAGGGGCTCCTTGGGCACCCCTGCTTAGAGGGATGGCCTTTATCACAACAAGCTTTCATCCTGGCCCCAACTTTCCATCAGCAGCTTTCTTTCAAAGTGTGAGAATTAGAATGTGATGCCATTTGGGCAAAAACAAATTTCAAAGTCTATTCAACAACAACAAAACCAGAAGCACATTGAAACATAGCAGTTCATGGGAGTACACAGTGTTTCTGAGAAGCTCCAGAGCAGCTCAGCCCAGGTAGGTCAAGGCCAAGCCCTTGGTCAAGGCCAAGGCCCAACCAGCATATCTCAGATAGATTATGGTGAGGCCTGAAAGGGAGGGGGGGGATATTTAGCATCACAGATTTAAAATCACTTTGAGAAGTATTGTCTCCTCATATTCATTATCATCCAGTGTGTGGGCCACAAATTGGCAGGGAATTACTTGCCTCAGCCTTGATGACACTCCCAGACTTTCCCAGATGAGCTGGCAGTGGAAGACAGTAAAAATTACAGGTGTTATCTGAGCCTGTGTGGCCTCTCAAGTGACTCTTGGCCTCTTTCTCCCCTCTCGACTTGCACGACCCAGGTGGACATAAGTGACAGTATGAACATAAAATATGTTAACTGGTTTTCTGCCCGGCGGAAGGTTGTGACAGGGATATTTGATAAGTGCTGATGACTGAATCTGAGATGCATGGTGTGATCTTGGCTTTGCAATAGCTGCAAGGAAAGTGGGGGCAAAAGTGGCCACCTCTGGGCCCTCAGGAAACTGGCAGCAGGCGGCTCGCACTGGACGCTGGACAGCTCCTTTGACCCGGACAGCTACCAGACCCCTAAATCGTACTCCTTTATTTTCATCATCACGCCCTACCGCAGTATTTTTTTTTAAGATTTTTTTTTTTCTGTTGTCCCCGCCGCGCTCCCAGCGAGCTTTTCGGCTTCGCTTCTGCGCTCTGAGGGAATTCTGTCTTGCCAAGCCGGGCTGTTTTATTTTTCGGCGCGGCAGGCGGAGGTGCGGGCAGGAGTGCAGAGGGGAGTGCGGTAATTGTTCGTTTCCCTTTCCCACCGCCCCCACGCCGCGTTTTCCTTTCGATTCCTTTTCTCCCTTCTCGCTGGGAGAGGCTGTTACGTCGCTCCCCGCGCCGCCCCTCAGGGCCGTCCCCGCTCGGCCGGGCGGTGGCGCGAAGCACAACGGGAAAGGCTTTTCCCGCCGCCGCCCGGGCCCTCAGGCGCGGCTGGCGGCGGCCGGAGAGGAGGCGGCTGCGCGGGGCAGCGAGCGTGTGGGGCGGGCAGGGGAGCCGGGCACGGGCCAGGCTGGGCACGGGCTGCGGGTGCTGCCGGCGGCTGCGCGGTGTCTTGGCCAAGGAGACTTCTGGGTGGGTCGCTGGGAGTCTTGTTTTATGGCGTTTGTCCCACGGCTCTCCCGCTTCTCCTTCAGCCCGCGGCGGGGCCGAGCAGGAGCGCAGCGGGGCGAGGGAGCGATTCAGAAACGAAGGCGGGAGACGGGGTGGGAGCACGGCGGTGTTAGAGACGCAAGCCCCGGGCTCAGATCTCTCGCTGCTGCCGGTCTGGGGACGGGGCCGAGTCAGAAAGCCCGGCGGCTCCTAAAGACTCCCTCCCTCCTTCCCTCCCCGGGAGCGGTGGGACGTGGGGAGGCGCAGGGGAGGGGCAGTGGCGGTGCTGAGGGTGACTGAGAGAGGAGGAAGATTGAAGAGCCTTGGGGTGTCACCACGGAGTGCCTGTGACTGCTCCTGCCGTCTCTTTAGCAGCCCAGTCTTCTAGACTGTGAGCATGGAGTGCCTGTCTCTGCCAGTGACCTCCTGGCTCCCTAGAAGGCCCAGAGAGCCCTGGAATGTCATCATGGAAGCCGTGTGAGTGCAGGTGAGCTCAGGGCTCTTTAGAAACCTGGATCCCTGTAGGATGTGAGGATGGAAGCCTTAGGAGGGCCTTTGAGCTGAGTGCTCTTTAGCAGTTTAGAGAAACCTGGGATGTCGCTGTGGAACCATTGTCAGTGCCGGTGACATCAGAGTTCTTTAGCAGTGCAGAAACACAGGGGATGTCAGCACAGAGCTGCTGTCATTGCCTGTGACCTCAGTGCTCTTTAGGAGCACAGCGGCCACTGGCTTGTCACGATGGATCCCCTCTGAGTGGCTGTGACAAAGCACTTCTTTAGCAGCCTGGAGCCCCCTGGGATGTCCCTGTGGAGTTCCTCTAACAGCGTGTGACCTTATGGTTCTTTTGCAACCTTGGACACATTGGAATGTCACTGCAGAGCCTGTGAGTGCCTGTGACATTACAGCTCTTTAGCAGCATGGAGACACTCGGGATGTTGCCACTGAGACCTTGTGACAGCGTGTGAGGTCAGTGCAGTTTAGCAAACAGGGGACTCCTGGCATGTCCCCATGGAGCCCTTGGGATTGGACATGACCTCAGTGTTCTTTAGGGGCTTGGAGACCTCTGGGATGTCACCACAGAACCTCAGCGAGTGCCTGTGCCAAATGGGTCCCTTAGCATGTCAAGACACCTCTGTTGTCCTCGTGGACACCAGTGACTGCCTGTGACCTTGCAAGTCTTTGGAAGATGTAAGAGCTCTGGGATGTCACCGTGGATGTCCTGTGCCTGTTTGTGGTCTCTCTCCTTCCGAGCAGGCTGGAGACAACTCTGCTATCACCAGGGACTGGAGTGCGGTGGTGGTGGTTCAGGGAGGTGAGGGTGGGGGGAGGAACGTGTGGCAGAGCTCACTGGGAGCTGCTCAGGCACTGAGTCATCAGGGACAGCACCTGAATGAACCCGGGCCCAGGAAACACTCGTGTCCCCACTGGCCAAGTTCTGTCCCAGGGAGCAGGTCTGCCCTCCGCTGGGATGGGAGGCCGTGTCACCCCACTGGAGCAGGGGACCAGGTGTACCCTGTGTCCCCAGCATGCAGAGTCTGGGCACGGAAGGCCAGGTCTACCCACTGGGGTCTCAGACATGGTGTGCCTGCTGCCAGCATGGGAGGCCTTCCCTCCTCTACCCGGGAGACCAGGTCTGCTCACCAAAACGATCACAGTAGTGCTATTTCACTGGCAGCTGGGACGCCAGCGGGGGGTCATCCCATACTGTTGAGAGTGCACCAGGCTCAACAAGGTCTTCTTCCCCTGCTGATTCTGCCAAACCTGCTCCCTTGGCTGTGGTTTCACTGGATAGTAGGTCGGGACTGTGGCAATCTTGTTCATTCATTTATTTATTCACGTCACTAAATAGATGATGAGGCATTTGGCTATTTATTGAGCATTTATTTTTATATGTTCTTTTTCTGGGTTAAGTATTGGTGTCCCATCCACCTTGGTCCAAATCAGTAGAATTTAGCCTCCAATGTAGATGAAACACAATGCTGCATCCTTGGAAGAATTGTGTCATTGCCACTGTCCTTATGTGCCATCCAGCTTTTAACTTTTTGTGGTTTTTTAAAATTTGCATAAACGATAATAACTCTACGCAGCCAAGCTAGCCTTGCTTCCAAACATCTGAACAATATCTACTGAGGTAAAGAGCATTCTGGAGACCAGCAGCACAGCAGTCTTCCCCTGCCTTCTTTTGGAGAGACCTAGGTCCTGTAGGAGCTCACTGTTTCCATAGAACCACTTGGGAAAGTCCAGTGGGAAAGTCTGCAAACCTGATACATGCTGCATTGGTGAGGTCCTGTATTTGTTTGGGAAGATGTTGATATTTCCTGACTGTATTGGGTTGACCCTGGCTGGGTGGCAGGTGTGCACTCAGTCGGTCTGTCACTCCCTTTCCCAATGGGACAGGGCAGAGAATAAGATGGAGCAAAACCAGCAGGGTGAACTAAGGCCATTTTATTACAGTAAAAGAAAGAAATAAGCAGAGATTTGTGCTTGCAGCAGCTAAAGAGAATAAAAAGTCAGTCTCTGCTTCCCATCAGCGGTGATGTTTGGACACTTCCTGGGAAGCAGGCATTCAGCACACATGAGTTCCTCTGGACAGCAGATGTTGAAAACTCATGAGTACCGCCCTTCCTTCTCTCTCCCTTAGCTTAGGATCTCTCTCTCCTGAGCTGATATCATGTGGTATGGAATATCCTTTTGGCTAATTTGGGTCAGCTGGACTGGTTGTGTCCCCTCCCAGGATCTTGCCCACTCCCATCCCCTTTGGTGGGGGAAGGAATGTCAGAGGGGCAGCGCTGCTCGGCAGTAGCCAAAACACTGGTCTGTTCTGAACACCCATCCAGTTACCAGTGCAAAACATGGCACTGGAAGGCCAGTGATCTTGACCTTGGTCAGACCCAGTACAGTCTCCACCCCAATTCCGTACAATTTGTGTCACGCTTGGATCCCATATAGTCTATATACTCTCATTGCTAGAATCCTTAAGCCTTCTCTATACCAAGCATACATTTTATTAGCTACTATCACCTGTCCTTTCATATCCTTCCCGATGATCTCCATTCCACCAGAGGGTGAGGTCAGGACAGGGGAAATAGTACACCTGATGGTGTACTATTGGGCGCTGGCATTGTCTCTGTTCATCATAATCTTTTTCTTGCTCCTTGCCAAAATTCATTCTTCCATGTCCATTCTTCCCTCCTGCTACTTTACCTCCCATAACATACAACTTATGCTGTAGGTTATTCTTACCCCAAGGTTAAATCTCCTTGAAGTACACACCAGGTCTCCCCATCCTCCCGAATCACCCACCAAGTACACCCAGGTCCTCGGGCAAAGACGATGCCA